CTTAATGCTGTAATTTCTTCACATTTTTGCTTGTTTATCGATTTTTTATGTACAAATAGGGAGTTCAAAGGCGTAAGCCTGTTTCCCTCAAATACACCTACTGACTGACTGACTGAAGCCCCTGGTGTGGCACAGTGTCGAACGCCTTCTGGAAGTCGATGAGGCATGCATTTAATGTTTTGCTCAACAGGCGGTAATCGAATGCCGATTTTGGACCTGACGCTTGGAGGGTATTCCAGTTTGTTCCTGGTGCGTTGAAGTCGCCCATGATCATGATGTTAGGTCGACTGGAAAATTTGTCCATCTGCTCCAATAGTTGAGTGCCGGCGATTCGGTCTGTCCTAGGTGGTCGGTAGACAGTGAGGACATCGAGACACGGGAACAGGTAGCCTTGATGGTCAACCAGATAGCTTCCGTACTGCACGCAAACTTGGTGGTGTTATCCGACACTGCCAGACCTTCATTCACATACACAACGATACCACCACCCATCTTATAAGTCATAATATTTTTCGTGTGAGCTGCAGGAATTAAACTTCGTACCTTGAACTTTTTCCCATGTCAAATGCGTCGCGTAGATTGTGGTTGCCGATTTAACACAGTCAATTTGAATGATTAATATCGAAATTTCCTTCGCAGCCAGCAGGGTTTGAAAAGAATGATCTAACTCCGGCAAATTCCAGCAGATTGGGACGGACGATGTTACTTATGTTCGCTAGACGAGTAGCCAAGTACCAAAGGTTATTTTTAATATTTTAAGCACGAAACTTATAAATCCAATCGGACACACTTCGGTAGTGTTTTCGTCAAGTGATTTCTGTGACCTGAAGCTCCTTTCTCGAAATTTAGCGTACTGTTTTCTTGTGGTAAAGTGGTTGTAAAAACAAATATCTATCACTGGCGCCGGAAACATTTTATGAGCCAGGGCAGGTCGTATGACATTCGATCTTGTTTAGTGTTGGTGCGGAATTTGTGTCCCATAATTTGCATGAAGTGCGAAGACTGCTTTGCCAGTAAGTAGAGTGGATATTTCGCATTGTTCCCCGCTTATATGCGTAAGGTCCAGGCACTTACATTTTAATACACTGTCAGCACATGCTCATTCGTTAAGGAACGGGGAGTTGAAAGGGACTAGGCAAGTGCATGCCACTTCAATGAATTAACTCATGTTTCATGAATATTGGGGAGGTAATATACCGCTTACATGTGTGTGCTTACCGTAAAAATAAGCCATGTAGGCTAAATAAGATTATATTTTTCCGTACACATATGTCGTTTTAGCCAACTGGAGTGTACCTTCCATCGCTTAATAAATGTATGACTTTGTTTGAGTGGATCACGTGGAGGGCACTTGCCTGCTGAGCGTGCTGTTTAGCCATTGTCGTGCTTCCTCCGACTGCCTATTCTCCTCGACCAATGTTTGCAGCGGGGATACGTAAAGGCAAGTTCTTTCGGTGTCTTTCATTTTTATGATCTATAATTGATGTGATTACAGATTAATTTAAAAATACTTAAGGACCAGTTAGGTCTAGCAGCCGAATGGTATCTCTCGAAGCAGATTGCACATTGACAGTTCAGATATACCCATTTTATACTGCTTTTGCCGTCCACGGGAACTAAATATGAAGCGTCATTTCTATGGACACCACCGTAGTACTAAGCGCAAGAGAATTAGGCGGGACATATATGCATATTATGCCGCCATTGATGAACTTGAGTTCTTTCTCCCATCAACATAATCCAGGGTAACAGACCAATGTACGTAAAGACAAATGTTTATATAGAGTCCAGAAGTTCCTGCGGGTAGGTTTTTTACGGGCATAACCGAAAAATGGTACAGAGTCAGTTTCGGACGTGGGACGCACAAAGGCATTTGGTGACAAATGCTTTCGGACAGATTTGCAAAAATCCCACCTTTATGTGCAATTGCGCTGTCTCTAACGGGAAAGCTGCTTAATATGTTGCGGTCCTACCATCCAGAGTTGCCAAAGAGCCATAGAAAGCTATTGTAACTCCCCCTCCGATTGCGCATTAGCAAGCTCCTGAAGAAAGGGTTCTATGTTTATTTGGGTACTAGACGGAGTTGCTCAACCAGCTTCACCGTCAGCTGGCAGCGAGAATTCTGGAAATGAGCTTTCAATTGCACACTGACAGAATGAAGATTTTAAGGGCTCCAGTCTTTGTCTGTGGCCGTCCGGTTGTTGGCCTGCCCTTCGTTGTGGATGTATTCACTGGTTCTGACAAGTCTGAACCCATCGACGACTTCTTGGATCACTGTGCGTCTGAAATAAAAGGCCTTCTAAATTATGGGCCGGACGATGGATCTCTAAGGTAAGTCTGCTCACACTAGTTGCCTGAAAAATTCCTTTCTTTTTAGACAATCTGAGGGGCAACCGAGCGGAACAGGGGACGGTGATGGTGACGCGAGAACCGACGCACTACCGGGGTGGACATCGGTGCTCTCGGCGAGACCCGCATCACAACGCTCTTCCAGGTGGTATGGCGTCAAGAACAGGTCTCCCGAGGTTACAGGGATAAGATTATCGTTCAGCGCCACAAGCGTACGGAGAACTGACAACTTCGTGACAGTCACAGAAATATCTGGCTTCTCGACTTCACCAATGACCTCAACAGCCACCTGGAGGAAGGATTACATCCAGGAAGCCAATGTGACATCCGATGACACCGCAGAACAACCGATATGATCTTTTCCGCTCCTTAGTCACAAGAGAGATGCCAGGAGGCCATTAGCCACGGCCATCGTGGTCAAAGTTGGCGTTTTTATTCAGGGTCCCGTTGCCTTGACGATATCCGCCTTCAAAGCGAGTAGTTCCAGACGTATTGACCTGCAGTCACTCCATCGATTTAAATTCAGACACACATGCCT